CGAGCGGGTGCGGGCGGCTCAGCCCCGAGGCGGGCGTGCCCTGGGTTGTCAGCCTGGAAGTCTCAGCTCCCCGTTCCTTCCTGTCAAGGCCACGTCAGAGCGTGTGCACAGAGAGGATGGGGCGTTTGTGTGTGTGTGGTGTTTGTTTGTTTTTATTCCAGAGAGGAAGGAAGAGGTAGAGAGACATAGAAACATCAGAGATGAGAGAGAATCATTGATCGGCTGCCTCCTGCGCGTCCCCCACTGGGGATCGAGCCTGCAACCCAGCATGTGACCTCCTGGTTCATAGGTTGATGCTCAACCACGGAACCACACTGGGGGGGCAACAGGGCAGTTTTTATTGAGCGTCTACTAAGTGCCAGGCCTTCACAGCGGCTGCCTTTCTTGGTCCTCACAGCAGCCTTCCAACAGTGTTTTTTTTGTCTCGTTTTTAAATGAAACAGGCTCAGAGTGGGTAGACAAGCCATTTGAAATCACAACCACAACATTTAATTCCATTGATTTTTTTTTTTTTGAGAGAGAGAGAGAGAGAGAGACATCAACTGGTTGCCTCATCCACGGGCCCCGACAGGGTTGGGGATCAAACCTGCAACTGAGGTACATGCCCTTGACCCGGACTCAAACCCGACGCTCTAACCACTGAGCGACCGGCCAGGGCAGCGTTTAGTTCCCATGTTCGTTTCCTTTGGCCACAGCCTTAGTGGCGTAAACAGCACATTCGTTATCCTGCAGTTCGGGAGGTCAGAGGGCTGCGCTCACAGGGCCATGCTCTTCCTCGAGGCCCCGGGGCGAACTGGTCCTCCTGCCTCTCCCCGCCCCGAGGCACCTGCTCCCTGGCCAGTGGCCCCTTCCCCGTCTTCAGAGCTGGCAGCAGCGTGCGTCTCTGCCCCCTCCCCCAGTCACATCTCCACCGGCCTCGGCTGGGAAGAGCTCCCGCTTTAAACATTCTGCACCTGGATTGGACCCACCGGATCGTCCAGGCCAGTCTCCCATCTTGGGTTCCGTGACCTGGATCACAGCGCAGGCTCTCGCCGTGTGAGGTCGCAGTGCCACAGATTCGGGGGGTTAAGGTGTGGGCGTCTTTGGGGGGAGGGACAGGAGTCTGCAGGCCGAGAACAAGTCCCTGGTGATGTCATGTGGGGCAACCAAGGCCCGAGGTTGCGTGGAGGGTGCTGCCAGGGCCGGGACCCTTGACCCGATTTCCCCACAGCCCCACAGCCTCCTAGCAAGCCGGGGCGGCGGGCACAGGGCTGCTGCTGTTCTCCTTGCTGACACTGGTTTTCTCCTCTGCCACAGGCCCCGGGCAGGAGGGCATGAAGGGAGTCCGCCCCTCCCCACCCTCCCCAGGCCCTCAGGGCGGGGTGGTGGCATCGCTAAGCCGGCTTTGTTGATGCTCCTTTGGTCAGCCGTCACCTGCTGTGGGTTTTATGTGAAAGGGGAAGCGCGCTTTGCTGTCCCCACGCTGAGTCTGTGTCATTTCTGACTAGGCGGGTCCTGGCTGCGGCCTAATTGCAGGGACGCTGAGCTGCACCTGCCGCACCTCCGTGCTCCCCGCGTGGCTGCAGTGTCCCCTGGTGTCCTGCCCCTCCGGGGCCTCCCCACTGTGCCTGCCTCTCATGCTGGCCACCCCAGCTCCTCACGGAGGGCCTGTGGGCACTTGGTACAGACTTGGTTGACATCTAATGATGAAAGCCAAGCCCCCGTCTTCCTGAAACCAGCAAAATCTCCCATTTTTGCTACTAAGGGGCTTGGCATATCCATTCTGGGGCTCCATAAATGTTTGTCCACCCCCCACCCCTACCCCCCGACTTCAGCCCTGCCCACCCGGGAGGTCACACCACCAAGGAAAGTCGGGGCCAGGCAGGAGTGGGGTCCCTCGGGGATGGAGCCCAGGAGGCGGGGGATTTAAACAGTTGTTGCTCAGCAGGGGTTCACGACCCTGTGTGTACTTTATTTTTATTTATTTACCTATTTATTTATTTAAAAAATTTGTATTGATTTCAGAGCAGAAGGGAGAGGGAGAGATAGAAACATCAACGAAGAGAGAGAATCATTGATTGGCTGCTTCCTGTACGCCCCCCACTGGGGATCAAGCCCACAACCCGGGCATGTGCCCTGCCCGGGAATCAAACCGTGACCTGTTCATAGGTTGACGCTCAACCACGGAGCCACGCCGGCCGGGCTGCGTGTGCTTTAGAGTCTCTGGGAGGGCGGCTAACGTGTGTGTGGACGCCCAGGCCCCTCCCCTAGAGTACAGTTCAGTTGGTCTCAGGGGAAAAGAGACCCAGGAGGCAGGTGCTGCCGT